CTCTGGTTCTAATATATCAGGGCAGTTTTCCTTGATAATTTCTTGAAAGATGATGTCTAGGCTCTTTTTTTGATCATGGCTTTCAGATAGTCCAATAATTTTTAAATTCTCTCTCCTGGATCTATTTTCCAGGTCAGTTGTTTTTCCAATGAGATATTTCACATTGTTTTCTAATTTTTCATTCTTTTGGATTTGTTTTACTGTGTCTTGATTTCTCATAAAGTCACTAGCTTCCAATTGCTCTATTCTAATTTTTAAGGAAGTATTTTCTTCAGTAATCTTTTGGACTTCCTTTTCCATTTGGCCAATTTTCTTTTTAGGGCATTCTCCTCATTGGCTTTTTGGACCTCTTTTGCCATTTGGGTTAGGCTATTTTTTAAGGTGTTATTTTCTTCAGTATTTTTTTGGGTCTCCTTTAGCAAGCTGTTGACTTGTTTTTCATGATTTTCTTGCATCACTCTCATTTCTCTTCCCAGTTTTTCCTCTACTTCCCTTACTTGCTTCTCAAAATCCCTTTTGAGCTCTTCCAAGGCCTGGGACTGATTCATATTTTTCTTGGAGGCTTTGGATGTAGGAGCTTTGACTTTGTTGTCTTCTTCTGGTTGTATATTTTGGTCTTCTTTTTCACCAAAGTAAGATAATATAGTCTGACTTTTTTGATGCTTGATCATGATCCCAGCCAATTACTTGAGTTTTAAACTCTTCGTTAAGGTACAAATCTGCTTCCAATGTGGAGAATGTACTGTTCCAAGCTTCAGGGGTTTGTACAGCTGTTTTCAGAGACACTTGTAGGGACCTGTAAATTTTCAGTTCTTCCAAGGTGGTATGGTAAGGGGTGAGGTGTTTACTCCTTTCCTGGCCTGTGACCACAAGTATTCCTTTCTCTTCTGTAACTGTGAGGAAGGGTTTCTCTCCACAGCCACTATAAGCTCCACCTCGATAGCACTCCTCCTCACCCCAGCACTGCCTCCCAGAACTGTCACCTAGATCCAAATACAGGCAAAGCAAAAGATTCCTGTCTCAGCATTGACAAAAAGATCCCTGCAATCCCTCTGATCAGCCACTGGATTCCCCCTCAGTCTATGGGCTGGAAGCTTGGGAAGCAGCTGCCACCCCAGGGCCATGCTCTTGTGGAATGTGGCTGAGACCCTACCTTCCTGTCTCAGCACCAAAAGAAACAGACTTTTCCCACTGACCTTCTAAGTTGTCTTTGGCGTTTGTGGATTGAGGAGTCTGGAAACCTGCACAGCTGCCCAAGATTCAGGTCTCTGAGGCCGGCTGCAGGTTTGCTGTGGCCTGCACGCCCCAGCTGTGCTCCCACCCTGTCGCGATATACCTTTCTGATCAACCATCCAGGTTTTCTTGGGCTGGAAATTTGCTTCACTCTGTCTTTTTGTGGGTTCTGCTGCTTCAGAATTTGTTTAGAGCGATCTTTTATGAGTATTTGAAGGGGTTTGGGGGGTAGAGCTCAAGCAAGTCACTGCTTTCACTCTGCTATCTTGGCCCCACCAAGTGTATTTCTTCTTAACGATAAATTGTCAAATTCTATTTTCCAGTCCACTCTGCTGCCTTCTTCCATTTTGTGGGTGAAATAATCCATTCATGTTCAGAGTTATGACTGTTAATTTTTTATTTCTCTCAGTCCTGTTTTATTTTGTATTGTTCCCCACTCTTTACTCCCACCTTCCTCTTAACAAATAAGAGGAAGGTGGTAGAATAGAGGAAATTTGTGTGACATTTAAGATCTTATAAAGTGAAAAAACCTGTTTCCTTCCTCTTACAGATCTTTTCCTTTCTTTATTCCACTCCTAGCGTTTTTTTTTTCTTCCTTTGTTTGTAACCCTTGCATCATTTTCCTCTTTCCAACACTGGAGACAGTTTTGCTATGAGTATTTCTTTACTTTGTAGTCCTCTGTCTTAGACTCCTTTTTTTCCTCCTTTGTTATTAACCCTTCTTATTTCTCTTTTGAGTTTAATGTATTCTATGCAAAGATTTCTACATATGTGTAGGGAACGCAATGTGTGTGTGTGTGTGTGTGTGTGTGTTGTTTGTATTCAATCTGCCTTTATTTGATTTAGTTGAAAGTGAAGTTCATGGATTAATCATTACCCCAGCCTTTGGATCAATGGCGATACACTTTATCACATATACCTATATTATATAATGATAATTTCCCTCCCTTTCTTTATTCTTTCCTCTCAAGTATAGTTCACTGTCCTTTCCATTTTTTTCTTCGCATTGGAGAAAATTGATTGATCATTGAAACAGAATGAAATCATCTACAGAATCCTCTGTCATTTTAGTTTTTCTCATTACCCTTAAGCATGTTGTTTCTGAGAAGTTATTTATTTCTCATTTCTCTATTAACATATAAACAATTCATCCCCACATATTCCCTTTCAATTGTACAAATGTACATACCTTTCTTTCTTTTGGCTCCTCTATTTCTATTTCCAAATGTCTACATAAATCTGGCCTTTTATCAGGAATGTTTGATATTCCTCTGTGCCATTTTAGATCCATCTTTCTTTGTAAGATAATAGTTGTTTTGCCAGATAGGTTATATTTGGTAATAAACGCCTGTTTCTTTCCTTCTGGAATACCGTATTTCAAGACCTCTTCTTTTTTATAATCACATTTGCTAAATCTTGTATAATCCTTGTTGAAGCTTCTTGGTATTTAAATGTGGTATTTAAAAGTCCATTTTGGCTGCTTGGAATTTTTTTTCTTTTAACTGGAAGCTGTATTTTTGAATATGATGTGCCTGAGAGTTTTCATTTTAGAGTTTCTTTTTGGAGGTGACTAAAAGATTCTTTGAATTTTTACTTTTGCCTCAGATTCTAAGAATTCTGGATAATTATCATCCATAATTTTTTGAAATATGGCCTGCAGACTAATTTTTTTCTGATCATAATTTTTGAAGAATCTGATAATTCTTAGATTGCTTTTCCTTCACCTGTTTTCCTGGTCAATTAATTGTCTTTGACATTATATTTCTTAGATTTCCTTCTGCTTTTATTTTTTCAATTTTGTTTTGTTTTGTTTTTATGTTCCCTTGGAATCATTATTTTTTGTCTGGTCCATTCTCATTTCTAGGGAATATAGTTCTTGAATGAAGTTTTCCATAGTCAGCTCTAAAGTGCCAGTTGTCCACCCTTACTTTTCCTTCTGTCTCTTGTTTTACTTAGTTATTTGTTTGTTTTATTATCTTATTTAAACTGTGACAATTAACTCTTTTTGTCTCCTAGTTTTACTTCATGGTTTCTTGAATATCACTCTGGTAAACCAGGTTTTGATAAAACCCATTGGATTCAAATGGATCTATTTGACTATGCCTTTAAATCCAAATCACTAGGGCTCTCATTGATTGGCCAATAATAGGTTAGGAATTTGTATTTTATCCTACAAACAATAGAGAATCAATGAAGGTTCTTGAGCAGGGTAACCTGCCTTTTTGTGAGGGTTATTTTTGACAACTAAGAAAGATGGCTTGTAGAGGAGAGAACTGAAGTAGATGTGTAGTAGTTAATAAACGAAAGAAAATAAAAGCTTACTCTGTGCAAAGCACTATGCTAATCCTGGGGATTCATGTAGATGAACAAGATAGACCCTGCTCTAAGGAGCTCACATTCTATTGGGAGCAAAAAAAAAATACAGGAAGTTTCAGCTGCAAATAAGACAGAAAGATCTTGTGATTCTTACAATACAATATCAGATGGTGACAGTTCTTTAATGTCACTACCACTGATGAAAACCTATCTGTTTCCTAAGGAGAAGCATATGAGCAGATAAACTAGGCTGATGGTCATGGGAGGAAAGATAAGGGGATCAATCTTAAGAGATGTTTTATGGAACAAAAAAAAACAGTACTTGGTAACTGATTGGGTAGGAAGGTAGGTAAAGGGAGAAGCAAGTATTAGGGATGATTTGGTGGTTACAAACCTAAATGACTGGAAAGAAGGCAGTGACTCTGGGAGGTAATGAGTTCTATTTTAGGTATGTTAAATTTAGACCTAAGAAACATGAGAATACCTATCCCTATCCCAGGTCACTCCACAGACCCCAGTATGTCTGTGATGGAAGTACCAAAGGAGAGTTTGGAGGAAGGCTCATTTAGTCAACTTACCCAAACATATCTGACTTCCTCTTTGATTAAATTCTCTGAAGTTCCTCAACATCCTTTGTAGTTGTAGCTCTCCTCATGTAGAGAGTCAACTCGGTAAGCTCTGCGTTTGCTGAGGCCTCTAGCAGCCCTGCCCTGTGTGTCTCTTGTGTTTCCTTCCTTTAACATTGACCTTATCAGCATCAAAATGCCCTTAAATGTATGCAAGTGCTGGTGAAAAAATAGCAGTGTATTTCAGGGCAAATGTGGTTTCTGTTTCACCTAAGTTGACTTTTAAACTGGAGAGCTCCTTGGACACCATTATGTCAAAGAAGATGAAATTCTTTCTTACCTGATGAAATCACATGTTGTTTGGGGACCTGCAACCAAAGAGGATCACTAGTCATCAACCTCTTATTTTATTAATCACCAAAATGTTTTCCCAATGTAGGGTCATCAAATGGTAGTACTAACATGATTTTAAATGTAATCTGGACAGGACCACTTTCTAACCTGTGAATACTCAGAGTTGCACAAAGCAGGCCTGGAGGAGGGATTGCCAAGAACCAAGTAATTATTGCACTAATCAGTTTCAGAGTGAGGAATGCTTTCTATGCTGGAGTAAATGCACAACTTATGAACATAAATCAAAAGCAGGGAAAGGGATGAGATGGATTACAAAATAATCATTTCTAGGGCCTGCATGGTTTCCTATGACAAGCCCATGAGTCCACAAAAAAGATGTTCTGTAGTCTTGTGGGAACAGCATTGTTTCACATCTTTGGGAGTCATTACTTGGTGGGGCACAGGACCAGATTTCTGTGACAGAAACAGGTTCTACAATCTTTGATCCTTTTATTCACTTCACTTTAACATACAGGACCAGGAATGTAATGATTGTGAGAGTTTTGTCAAGGGTTTTATTAATCATTTCAAGATGCATTATAAGCTTCTGACTCCCAGGGCTGATGAGGGAGCTCTGAGGAATCTAAATTATTAATACATTCATCACACATGTCACATAGATTAATGTCTGTGGGGCCCTTGTGCATTTCCAGTAAAGCTCTGCACACATGGTGCCTGGGATGGACATGACTTTTATTACTAGCCATAGCATTCAAAATACAGCCTGATATATCATCAGCATTGAATAAATGTTTACTGATTGATTAAATAAAAATAGAAAAAAATATTTTAAAAGATAGAAAAAAGTTATAGAAAATAAAATTGAAGTAGGGGAACAAGAATAATAAGAGGAACAGTAATAAGAAGCAGAATAAAGAAAGAGGAAGAAAGGCAGAAAGGTAAGCATTAGTGTGCTATAGTGATTGTAGGACTTGGTTATGGTATGTGGCATGAGAGCTCTGTCTCTATGGGTAGAGAGTTTTGGGGTATAGGATAGAAATATAGTACAGGATAAAAAAGAATAAGGCAATGCATGATAGACAAGGAATGATTCATATGCCTTCAAGGAACTTAAGTTGGATTGTGTAAGAGATGGGACTGTATTTTTTGATTAAACTGAGTAACATGGTATGATAAAGATTCTTTGATGTATCTTTGAAAGTGTCAACTTCCACTTTATCCTTGAAAAAGAATGTGGTAGAGAGGGGTCCTAATTAAAATTCGTGTATGCACTAAATTTTATTTCAAATGTGGACTTATTTATTTCCATGGATAAGACTAAAATCCTGGCATAGGTAGGAAGAATCACAAATAAAGTAGATTTCATTTAACATAACCATAAGCAAACTCCACCCAAGGAAAACTAGTTCTTCCAAGCATTCTAAAAAGAAAGCAATGGTATGTTTTCCCCTTGTGTGAGAGCTGTGGGGCCCTTAACTCTTAATAATTGCCCAATATGTTGATGTCTGGCTGGTTCCATTTGTCCCCTCCACCTTCATGTTGAAAAGTCCTCCAAACACAAAATAACCAGACACCCATCTTAATTCTGAAAGATATTGTTTTCATGTTTCATAGAGGCTTCTTGTGAAAGAGAAATAATGGACCTTTCAAATTATAACTCTGTAATCTCTCTTTTCACTTCAACTGGCTTCTCTGAGAAGAGCTTATTCCAAAATGCTAGTTCCTTTTCCTTTAGCTTTGTGGCTGTCTTCATGGTGATGTTAATTTGAAGATACTCTTCATTCTCATCATATACAGGCCACTTTAGCAGGCCTTCACCATTGGGGTTTCTGGAAAAGTAACAACATTTTAAAAAATGTATTAATCATTTAAACATTGATGATGGCCATGGTTTTTAAAAAGTGGTACACAGTGAAGAACTCACTCATTAGTCACACAAAGCCAAATTCCCTAGGTTTGAGGCATTATTAGGTTTCTACCTTCTCAATTTCACTTCAAGTTCTCATATGGTGCAATAAAGCAATAATCATTAACCATTTGTTATAAAACAGACAAGTAAATCAGTGGAACAGAATTATAAACAATTGAACACAATAACAGAGTTTTTGATAAACTAAAGAACATAAATTAGTAAATTATTGGGGACAAATTCCATATTTGACAGTGGAAAAGATATGTGAGGGAAAATTGGTTCCTTCCTCTGCTTCTAGCTCAATTAATGCAAGTAAAATTTATAAGCAGAACTGACAAAATATTAATGTGTTAACAAGGTGCTAACACCTTGTAATCTGCTTCAAAAGGGTGAATACCTATCTGTAATTGAATTAGAAAAGGCACCCATTGGCTGGGCAAAAATTGGCAGGGCCTCTTAGGTACCTTGAAAGTCTGAGTTGCTAGTTCTGCAGTCCCACAAAGAGGAACCTAACCCTCAAGAGGTAATGGAGGCAGAGGAAGTAATTTTTTTTTTCCCCCACCTCTGACTAAGAGAACTACTTGCTTAGAAAGAGAGACTCCATCTAGTAGTTGTAAAAATCACTTTAAGTAATTTTAAGGCTTATTTGAGGAAGATTGAGACATAAACATTCACTCAGGGATGGAAGCAATATTGAATAGCAGGACCTCTGGTAAAAAGAGAGAGAGAGAGAGAGAGAGAGAGAGAGAGCAAGTCCTCTTGTTACAGACTTAAGATAGACTTAGTTCTGTATATCTAGAGCCATTCTTCAGTGAGAAATTTAAACTCTGGAAGTCAAGGTAAGAAATTATGCCATCTTGGGTATGATGCAGTGGAATGTGGTGAGATAGAATCAGTGGAGGGCTTGGTGCTTGGTGACAATTTGACAGGAGACTAAAGACTTCAGCACCCCAGTGTCCTGGAGTAGTGAATGGCCTTGTCCTTATGTATTCCCCACTTGTATGCCTCTCTACCAATGAACTGTAAATTTATTTTCACTCTTCCTATATAAACTGTGAGCATTTGTGGAAAATTATGCCCCAAGTTCAAAGGGGGAATGTTCTGGTTTTTTTTCTTTTTGTTTTTTAGGCAATTGGGGTTAAGTGACTTGTCCAGGGTCACACAGCTAGTAAGTGTCAAGTGTTTCCTCTGAGACTGTATTTGAAATCAGGTCCTCCTGACTTTAAGGCCAGTGTTCTATCCACTGAGCCACCTAGCTGCCCCCTGTTCTGTTGTTTTGTAGCTACTGTTCTTATTATGTGATCTTGTTAAATGCCTTTGTTTTAAAGATGCTTTTGTCTACTGGCTGACCATTACTGAGAAGTACACTGGGGAAGAGGAGAGCTTTTAAATTACATAGCTTTAGGATTTATAGCCTCAAAGGGTAAAGCCTAGATCCTGGCAGTAGAAGGTGTCCTCTTGAAAATTAATCTTTGGTGGAGCCAAGATGGAGGAATGAAAGCAGTGACTTGCTTAAGCTCTCCCCAAAACCCCTCCAAATGCCCATAAAAAAGTCTTTAAACAAGTTGTAAAGCAGCAGAACCCACAAAAAGACAGAGTAAAACAAATTTCCAGCCCAAGACCACCTGGATGGTTGATTAGAAAAGTATATTGCACAATCCAGGTAGAGGAGCACAGTGCAGCTTGGGCACACAGGCCACAGCACACCTGGAGCAGGCCTTAGAGGACTGAATCTCATATAGCTATGGTGGTTTCCATAATTCTCAATTCAGGAATGCCAAAGACAACTTAGATGGTCAGTGGGAAAAGTCTGTTTCTGTGGTGAGAGAAGCACAGGATCTCATCTCTATTCCCCAAGGAGCTCAGCCTTGGGGAGGTGGCTGCTTGCTGACCTTCTGGCCCACAGACTGAGGCTGATCAGAGGAGGAGTGCAAGGATGTCTTTGTCAGTGCTGAGGTAAGAATCTCTTGCTTTGCCCATCCTTAGATCTGGTTCACAGTTCTGTGTGGTGGTCCTGGGGTAAGGAGGAGTGTTGGCATGGTGGAGCTTGTAGTGGTGATGGAAAGGAAACCCTCCTCACAGTTCCAAGACAGAGAAGACTGCTTGTGGTCTGTCACTCATAGACAATAGCACAGGCCAGGAAAAGACTAAACACCTTACCCTTATCATACCACCTTGGAAGAACAGAAAACTTTCAGGTCCTTAGAAGTATCTCAGAAAACAGTTGGATAGACTCCCAAAGCTTGGGGCAGTACATTCTCCACATTACAAGCAGACTCTTACCTTAACAAAGAGTTTAAAACTCAAGTAATTGGCTGAGTTTATGATCAAACCTCACAAAAAGTGTCAGACTATGTTATCTTACTTTGGTGACAAAGAAGATCAAAGCATACAACCAGAAGAAGACAACAAACTCAAAGCTCCTACATCCGAAGTCTCCAAAAAAAATATGAATCAGTCCCCGGCCTTGGGAGAGCTCAAAAGGAATTTTGAGAAGCAAGTAAGAGAAGTAGAAGAAAAACTGGGAAATGAGAGGGATGCAAGAAAATCATGAAAAACAAGTCAACAGCTTGCTAAAGGAGACCCCAAAAAATACTGAAGAAAATAACACCTTAAAAAATAGCCTAACCCAAATGGCAAAAGAATTCCAAAACACCAGTGAGGAGAAGAATGCCTTAAAAAGAAAAATTAGCCAAATGGAAAAGGAAGTCCAAAAGATAACTGAAGAAAATACTTACTTGAAAATTAGAATAGAGCAGTTGGAAGCTAGTGACTTTATGAGAAATCAAGACACTGTAAAACAAATCCAAAAGAATGAAAAATTAGAACAATGTGAAATATCTCATTGGAAAAACAACTGACCTGGAAAATAGATCCAGGAGAGAGAATTTAAAAATTATTGGACTATCTGAAAGCCATGATCAAAAAAAGAGCCTAGACATCATCTTTCAAGAAATTATCAAGGAAAACTGCCCTGATATTTAGAACCAGAGGGCAAAATAGAAATTGAAAGAATCCACAGATCTCCTCCTGAAAGAGATCCCCAAAGGAAAACTCCTAGGAATATTGTAGCCAAATTCCAGAGTTCCCAGGTCAAGGAGAAAATATTACAAGCTGCCAGAAAGAAACAATTCAAGTATGTGGAAACACAATCAGGATAACACAAGATTTAGCAGCTTCTACATTAAGGGACCACAGGGCATGGAATATAATATTCCAGAGGGCAAAGGAGATAGGATTACAACCAAGAATCACCTACCCAGCAAAACTGAGTATAATCCTTCAGGGGAAAAAATGGTCATTCAGTGAAATAGAGGACTTTCAAGCATTCTTGATGAAAAGACCAGAGCTGAATAGAAAATTTGACTTTCAAATACAGACTCAAGTGGAACATGAAGAGGTAAACAGGAAAGAGAAATCATAAGAGACTTATTAAGATTGAACTGTTTACATTCCTGCATGGAAAGATGATATTTATAACTCATGAGACCTTTGTCAGTATTAGGGTAGTTGAGGAAAATTAATTATGTAGATAGATAGATAGATAGATAGATAGATAGATAGATAGATAGATAGAGGGCACAGGGTGAGTTGAAGATTAAGGGGTCATATCTGGAGAATAAAATTAAGGGATGAGAGAGGATTATAGGAGAAGAAGAAAGGGAGAGGGAGAATGGGGTAAATTATCTCACAAAAAAAAAAACAGAAAAGCTCTTACAGTGGAGGGGAAACAGGGGAAGGTGAGAGGGAATGAGTGAATCTTATTCTCATAGGATTTGGCTTAAGGAGGGAATAACATACACATTCAATTGGGTATGGAAATCTGTCTTGCCCTACAGGAAAATAGGGGGAAGGGGACAAGAGAGCAGGGGGATGATAGAGAGGAGGGCAGATTGGGAAAGGGGTAATCAGAAGTAAATACTTCTGAGGAGGGACAGGGTCAAAAGAAAGAATAGAATAAATGGGAGGGCAGGATAGGATTAAGGGAAATAGAGTTAGTTTTTCACAACATGTCTACTATGGAAGTGTTTTGCATAACTGCACATGTAAACCTATATTGAGTTGCTTGCCTTTTCAATGAGGGTGGGTGGGGAGGGAGGAAAGGAGAAAATTTCTAACCCAAAGTTTTAAAAACACATTTAAATAATGTTTTCACATGCAACTGGGAAACAAGAAATACAGGAAATGGGGTACAGAAGTCTATCATGCCCTAAAAGAAAATAGAAGGGGAAGGGGATAAGAGAAGGGGGGAGAGATAGAAGAGAGGGCAGACTAGGGGAAGGGATATTCAGAATACATGCCATCTTGGGGTGGGGGAGGGAGATGGGTGAAAATTTGGAACTCAAAAACTTGTGGAAGTAAATGTTGAAAACTAAAAATAAATAAATTTATATAAAAACAAAAAATTAAAAAGAATTAAAAACTTCAGAAAAAAGAAAATTAATATTTGAGAACAAGGTGGGAAGAGAACATAGGTGTTGATTCAACAACCACAACAAAAATTGTTAACCTAGAAAGAAGTTTAGTAGAAATTGCATCTACATTAATAACTTCAATATTGTATACCTTAGCAAACTCAAAATTGATATGTAAACCAAATATTTAAAATACCATTAATGATTAGTTAACCAGAAAAGTTACCTTTCATAATTATGGCTAGGGGATGAATCCTTAACCAAAAGATTAAAGTAATCACAAAAGATGGAATAGGTTATATCAATGATATGAAATTGAACAGTTTTTGCATGGACAAAATTAGTGCTAAAAAGATCAGAAGGGAAATAATCTATTGGGAGAGTGAAACTTTGCATAAACTCTTTGGTATGGCTTTGACAGCCAAGTTATTTTGTTTTCTTTTTTTATTTCAGAATTCATTTTTCCATAGTTACATGTAAAAACAGTTCTTAACATTCATTTTTAAAACTTTAAGTTCTGAATTCTCTCCTTTCCTCCTATCCCCCAATCCTTCCTTTCCCCACTGAAAAGGCAAGCAATTCAATATAGGTTATAAATGTGTAGTCATGCAAAACATTTCAATAATAGTTAAGTTGTGAAAGAAAACAGAGTCCAAAAAACCCATCAAGAAAAATAAAGTAAACAATGCAAAACAAAACAAAACAGAACAAAACAACCATATGTTTCAATCTGTATTCAGACATCATCAATTTTTTCTCTGGGGATGAATAGCATTTTTCATCTTAAGTTCTTCACAACTATCTTGCATCGTTGAATTGCTGAGAATAGCTAAATCATTCACAGCTGATCATATTGCAATATTGTTGTTACTTTATACACAGTACATTTAAATTTGCATCAGTTCATGTAAGCCCAGGTTTTTCTGAGAGTATTGTGCTCATTGTTTCTTATAGCACAATAGTATTCCATCACGATCATATATCACATTTCCTTCAGCCATTCCTCAACTGATGGGCATCCCTTCAATTTCCAATTCTTTGCCATCAAAAATGAGCTGTTATAAATATTTTTTGTCTATATAGGTCCTTTTCCTTTTTGTTTTTTTAATCTCTTTTGGGATACAGTGCTAGTAGTGGTTTGTTGCTGTCCTTCATTTTTGAAGAGGACCAATATGGCATCACTATGCTAGAGTGAAGTTTTAGTGCAGAGAACCACCAATTGTGTGGCAGATGGGAGTCCACCAGAGGCTGAGCCTACCCATATGTTAGCACAGCCATAGGTGAGGAGATGACCTCCAGCAACCAGACTACCTCCACCCCCTACACTGTACCCAAAGAGCTCCAGTGTAACCCTGAAGAAATGCAGAAAAACTTCACTTAGCTTTTGCACCCACCAGCCACCACCACCATCTCCATCTCAGCACCAGATAAGCTGCCAGAACACTACAGCCTCCAACTGCTAGAACTGGAGGCCCCAGCACACGAAGACAGTAACCAAGCCCCTACCCTACAGCACAAAGTGTGAATTAATGCCCTCTGCATCCCAGAAGCACAGATCAATTTCAAAAGCCATGAAAAAGGCAAATACCATGAGCAAAATGCAACAGAAAGACGAAGATCATAGTTTCTTACTATGGGGATAGGGAAGACCAAAACACAAATTCAGAAGAAGACAGCATTGTCAATTTACCCAATATGAAACCTCAAAGGGGAATATGAACTGGTCTTAAGCCCAAAAAGCCATCTTGGAAGAACTCAAGAAGGATTTTAAAAGTCAAATAAGAGAGGTAGAAGAAAAACTGGGAAAGGAAATGAGAGGTATTCAAGAAAGAGTTGATAGCTTGGAAAAGGAAGGACACAAATTGACTAGAAAACAAGTACTTAAAAAATTCAATGGACCAAATGGAAAAAAAAAAGTACGCTGAAGAAAGCAACTCCTTAAAAAGCAGAATTGGCCGAATGGAAAAGGAGGTACAAAAGCTAACTGAAGAAAGAATGCTTGAAAGTCCTCTATTTTATTGGATACCCATTTTTTTTCCTCTGAAGGATTATACTCAGTTTTGCTGTGTAGGTTACTCTTGGTTGTAATCCTAGTTCCTTTGCCTTCCAGAATATCGTATTCTAAGCTCTCCATTCCTTTAAAGGAGAAGCTGCTAAATCTTGTGTTATACTGACTGTGACTGCATGATACTTGAAATATTTCTTTCTGGATGCTTGCAATATTTTCTCCTTGACATGGGAGCTCTGGAATTTGGCTATAATATTCTTGGCAATTTTCATTTTGGTATTTGTTTCAGGAGGTGATTGGTGGATTCTTTTAATTTCTATTTTGCCCTCTCTTTCTAGAATATCAGGTCAGTTTTCCTCAACAATTTCTTGAAAGCTGATATCTAGGCTCTTTTTTATTTTAACATGGATTTCAAGTAGTCGAATAATTTTTACATTATTTCTCCTGGATTCATTTTATAGGTCATTTGTTTTTTCCAATGAGTTATTTCCCATTGTTTACTATTTTTTTTTCATTCTTTTGGTTTTGTTTTATTGTTTCTTGATTTCTCATAAAGTCATTAGATTCCATTTGTTCAATTCTAATTTTTAAGGAATTATTTTCTTCATTGAGCTTCTGGACCTCCTTTTTCCATTTGGCAAACTATGGTTTTTAAGTTATGGGCTTTTTGAACCTCTTTTTCCATTTGGCCTAGTCCATTTTTTAAGGTGTTATTTTCTTCACTATTTTTTTCTATCTCCTTTACCAAGTTGTCGACTCATTTTTCATGATTTTATTGCATTCTTCTCATTTCTCTCCCAATTTTTCTTCTACTTTTCCTACTTGATTTTCAAAAATTTTTTGAGCTCTTGCATGGTCTGGGACCATTCCATATTTTGTTTTTGGAGGCTTTGGATGTAGTATTTTTGTTATCTTCTTCGAGTGAGTATTTTCATCTTCCTTGTCACTGTAGTAATTTTCTATGGTCAAAATGTTCTGCTGTTTCTCATTTTCCCAGCCTATTACTTGACTTTTAACTCTTTGTTAAAGTAAGGCTCTACTTCCAGGGTGGAGGGTGCACTGTCCAAGCTTCAGGAGTTTTGTGCAGCTGTTTTCAGAGATACTTCTAGGGACCTATAAGTTTTTACCTCCTCCAAGGTAGTATGATCTAAGGAGAGGTGTGTTTGCTAATTTCCTGGCCTGTGCTCTGGTCTTTAAGCAACCACAAGCACACTTTTCTACCCCAGAACTGTGACAAGGGTCCCTGCTCCATAGTGGCTGCAAGCTTGGTGTGCTAGTGGTTCTCCTTGCACTGTGATTGCCACCCAGGACTGCGATCTGGATCCAAGTGTGGGTAAAGCAACAGAGTCCTGCCTCAGTGCTAGCAAAAAGACTTGTGATCACCTTCTGACTAGTCGTTCAACTTCCTTACTATCTGTGGGCTGAGAGTTCTGGAAGCACCTGCTGCAACTGCTGATTCAGTGGCTTCCAAGGCCTGCACTTGTTTTGTTGGGGTCAGGGCTCTTTTGGTGTGACCTGCACTGGACTTTGGTCCACTCTTTTCCAAGTTTGACATATCTTCCCTTCTGACTTGTAAGTTGTCTTTGACATCTGTGGGCTCTGAGATCTGGAAACCACCACTGCTTCCCCTGATTCAGTCACACTGAGGCCTGCTCATGGTTTATTGGGGCTCTGTCTGCACTGTCATGGCCTGAATCAGACTGTGTTCCTCTCTCACCCTGGTGCAACAGACATGACCTGTTGACTTCCCAAGTTGGCTTTGGCAGGAAAAAAAATTTCATTCCACCTTTTCATGGGTTCTGCTGCTCTAGAATTTGTTTAGAATCATTATGTGAAGATATTTGGAAGGGGTTAAGGGAGAGCTCATTCAGGTCCTGGCTTTACTCTGTCATCTTGGCTCCAGGTCCTCTCAGACAACTTATATCAGGAAATAATGTAAATATATGAAATAAAGAAATAATCAAATAATATGAGCACATACACAATAACTACAATAGGAACACTTTAAAAGTATTATAAACAAGTTTGGCCCCAAAGAAGAAATATGAAAATTTACTTCTTTATGAATTATGGGATGGTGTATATAGAAGTTTACATATGTCATACTTATTTGACAAGTAAATTAGTTCTCATGAACTTTTTTCCCCAATACACATGTAAACATGCATATATACACATGCACAAACTTAAAAAAATATATATTTCATCAAGATAGGAGAATCTCTAACAGAGCGAGGAAAGACAGATACATGATAGAAATGTAGGTGATAGGAGAAATAAAAGATATTGTAACATTTTGGGGGAAAAAGTATCTCTCTTCTCTATTACTAGTCTTACCCATTCCGAGCAAAGTTGGCCCAATATTTCATCATTGTTCTACTAAGCTGCTTCTCCTCTTCTGAGAAACTCTCTGAAAATAAGTGCAAAAGATAGAATTCAAATAGATGTTAAGAATCAATACCATTTATTTTTTAGGGTCCCATACCACTTTTGCCTTCACACCATGCTTCCTTTAGAGAGCTCTCCTTTTCATAAATGCCCAGTTTTCCACTTTGCCCAGTGCCCTCTCTAAACAATGCTCTCATTTTATCTGTGAAAATTAAAATGGGTTTTGATTTCCATGTATCCTACCTCCCAGAGGAATTTACCTATTATCAAAAGATAATAAATTAAAGGAATTTAATCCTCAGTTACAGCATTTCAAATGCTAGCAAGTTTTTGGAAAAGATGATTACAGTATCTAATAAATATTATTTAGTATCTAAGATTCTACAGCTCGTGACAGGACCCATTTAGTTGAACCCCTTTATTTTACAGACTGGGAAAATGAGGGCCAGAATTAAGTGACCTGCACACGATCATACAAGTAAAAGTAATAAAGCTAGGATTTGACCACAAGTTCTCAAACCCCCAACCTGTTGTTCTCAATATGCCAAAATCCAACTTTACACCTAAAACATGAATTCCTTTAGTATTACCATTGTACCTGAAGGTTATTGCTGCTACTAGCAAGGAAAAAATACAGACAAAGGGAAAATTTGCTCAGGTTTTCTTTCTGAATCTTCATGAAGCCCCCTGAAGCCAGCTAGAGCCTACAACACTTGAATGGAAAAATGGAAACAATGGAGAGGCCTAAATTCCATGATGGGAAGAGGTGAAATCATGGGGCTGTAGCATGAACTTCCAGAACACTAACAGATCCTGTGACTCTGATACACGGAGAGTCTTCTAAATATGGCATCACATGCTTTCATAACATTATTACCAAGGGCAGCTGTGTGACCCAGTGGATAGAGCTCTGGGCTTCTGGTTAAGAAGACTCATCTTGAGTTCAAATCTGGCCTCAGTTACTTACTAGCCATCTGACCCTGGGCAAGTCACTTAATCCTGTTTGTCTCAGTTCTTCATCTACAAAATGAGCTGGAGAAGGAAATGGTAAACCACTCCAGTATCTTTGCCAATAAAACTCCAAATGGTTTTCCCCATTTGGAAAATGTCTGATGACAAGTATGACAAGACTGAAACAACTAAAATGAACCTCATTACCAACAAATTTTAAAGCAGGGAAGTCATCAAAAGGAATCAAGGACCTGGAGCAGAGTTGTCTGGAATACTCATGGTATTCTGCCTATAGAAATGCACTCAGATTATATTATATTACAGAATGCATTCTAAGTGGACATCCAATTTAAATATTCAAAAGATCATATAATAAATAATTAGAAGATAAGCAAATCATGTAGCTTTCATAACTATAGGTATAAGATGTATCCTTAACCAAATAGTGGACAGAGGCAATTACAAAAGGTAAAATTGATGATTTTAATTATATGAAATTGAAATTCTTCTGCAGTGAGAGAATTAATGTGCCTAGAAAAGTAAGGGAAATGGTTGAATGGGGAAAATATTTTTATTCAATTTCTCTAGTAAACATGTGGTATTAAAGATATATAAATAGCCAACAAATTATATACATATATGTATGTATGTATATATGTATGTATGTTTATATATGTATACATATACACACATACATATGTGTGTATGTATATATATATATATATATGCTATCCTCCAATACCTAAGTGGTCAAAGAATGCAAACAAAAACAAATGGAGAATTGCAAGACTTTTTACAGTTACATTAATGAATGCTCCAAATCCCTAATATTAAGAGAGACATAAATCAAAGACACCCTGAGGTTTCACCTCATACTTTGCAAACTGGCAAAGATAGCAAAAAATGGCAATAATCGATATTAGAGGATGATAGGCATACTATGCATTGTTGGTGGAGGTGTGAATTGGTTAAAAAATTAGAAAGCAGTTTGGCATATTACTATTACATACAAAATTACTAAAGCGTCCATGCCCTTTGACCCAGAGACTTCATTATAGGGAATATACCCTGAGGAAGTCATCAAGAAGAACAAAATCCCCAGGTACACAAAAACATTCATAGCAGTATCTTTGAGTTATACCAAAGAAATTAAAATAAAGTAAATGGTCATCAATTAGTAAATGGCTAAAAAAAATTGTGGTACATAAATGTAATGAAATACTACTCTGCTACAAGAATTTATGACTGTGATGAACACATAAAAGCATAAATAATTTGCATGAGTTAGTATCTACATAAAATTAGCAGTGCCTTCAAACCCCGATATACAAATGGCAACAACAATGTAAATAGAAAGAATAACCACTCCAAAAAATCAAAAGTTAATATGGAAAAATCCAAGCAAAATTCAAAAGAACTGTGAGAGATCAACAACTTCTGCACATTGTGCAATTTTTGTACTTTTTCAATATATTGTGCTGATTATTCTTTTTATTTTTAAAAATATTTGCTACATAGGATAGCTCTCTGGGAGGGGAAGAGGCAGGAATTCTTGGGAAAACTATTATGATGTTTAAAAGTGAATAAAAACTTATTTTTAAATTAATTTATTTTGAATTATCAACAATCACTTCCATAAGCTTCTGATACAAAAATTTATTTTTAAAACAATGCACTCAGCATCCCAGACTCTCCAAACTGAAAGGAGCCTCAAATAGCACCTCGCCCAAAGCACCCTGAACAAGAGTAACTTTTCCAAATCCTTTAACAAGTGGCCATATAGCTTTGACTTGAATAGGCAAGTAGTGGGGAACTCATTACCTTAATAGAAAACAAGGATGTTTTTGAACAGTCAAAATATTTCCTTACATCAATTCAAAGTGCATCTCTATGTAATGTTTATCCATCATTCTTGTTTTCACCCAACAAGACCAAATCTAATATACTTGAAGATAGCTAGCTATCATGCCCTACAGCATTCTCTTCATGCTAAATCTCCCCAGCTTCCTCAACTATTCTCTTTCAGCATGGTCTCCAAGTTCCTCCACAATCTAGGTACTTTTCCTTCAATCATTATGACAGGATACTCCAGATATTGTCTGACCAGGATGTAGCATAACAAAATTATGACCTTCCTTATCCTAAATACTAGACTACTGTTAATGAAGCCTAGCATCACTTCTTAAAGAAAATAAGGGGTCCTTAACTCAGTTTTGACACCTTGTTGGCATGTTCATTGGGACAGGAAATCAAATGATGATTATTGTAGTTCTAGTTCTATCACCAACCTTAACCAAATCACTTTGCCTATCTGGGCCCATTTCTTCATCTGTAAATTGGTATGTTAAAATAATGTCCTTTCTGTGCCACAGGACTTCTATGATTATAAAGAGAGATAATGGAGAGAAAGACACTTTGTTAAGTTAAAAGGGCTATGCTAATAATTAACCATCAGAAATGGGTAGTAGGTGATATTGTTTATGAAGCTTTTGTAGCAAGCAAAGAATCATTACCCATTAGAAATGGAATCCCAAAGACAAAGAAAACTTCATCCGCATGGTCTGCCTTTATTGTCACTGGTTTCAGGTTTCCCCAAGAGCTTGGCCGATGCTGAAATTCGTACATATAGGTAGGTGCACCCGAAGCTGAAAGTAAAGAAAATGGTGGGAAATTTAGAACTTCAAGTCTCTTACCATTGATGGAGCTCCTTGGAGGCCATTTAAAATGTAATAAAAAGCTTCTGCTCAAGGACATTCAGCTAATTTAAATAATGAGACTGTAGGTCTTGGCCACAATACCTAGATTTACCAACAGAGGCATGCAGAATAATATTGCACATTATTTATTTTCTCTAAAGTTGTTATTCATATCTAATGCACTTCTTACTGGATTATAGAATCTTATTGATGGTTAGGATATTCAAGATCATATTGTATAATCTCCTATGGGCATCCTCAATATGTCATCAAATCTCTGCTTGATAAAGGCACGCCATTCTAGATTCCCAGGTGCCAAGTGTCATCATGATGCTGCCCTGAGCTGACTAATGTTACTTGCTCACAAACTGTTGCTTTCTCCTGTAACAAAACCTTTATATCCTTCCCATTCATATCGAGAAAATATGAAAGCCAGGATTTGATCTTAGGTGTCCTATCTTCAAGCTCAGCATTGTCTTATTTATATATATATAGCTATCTACTCTGTCTTTGGTTAGAATGAATTAGCATCCTTAGCTAAAAAGTGGAAGGACTAAACCTGACTGTATCACTACCCTCCTATTTGGTGTCTTTGGGAACTCACCTCTGTGAAATTGAGCCACTATTATGGATGGAAGCCCAAACATCAAGTCTCCCATCATGTCCTGAAATAGGCTTTTCTTTTTTACAGGATCTTCTGTCACTCCAAGATACTCCTCAGTCATCACAGGAGTAAGGTCTTTGGGGATTTTCTGAATGAGTCATGAGTGAAAAGTGATGATCATTCATTCAAAGCTTCCATTTTGTCATCCATACATATATCATTTCATCTATTCATTGACTTAATACCCTAAAAAAGATTGGCCCAAGTAACATCTTTTCCCAATGACATTGTGAATCCACTGTAACTAAGCCTCATTATAAAATTATGAAACCTTGCTATGAATTGTTAAGCCAATCATCCATTTATAATATTACTTATATAAGGCTAACTACCCACTAAAAATATTGTTTCATTTAAAATCATGTATTTATAGAACCATCATACTGTTGCTCAGTTGTTCAGTCATGTCCAATTCTTCATGACCCCATTTGGGGTGTTCTTGGCAAAGATATTGGTTTGCCAAAGATATGTGGTTTGCCACATTTTTCTCCAGTCCATTTCACAAATGAGGAAACTTAAATGACTTGCCCAGGGTCACACAGCCAGTAAGTGGCTCAGGACAGATTTTAGCTCATGTCTTGTGGATGCCAGGCCCCATACTCTATCCAATCCGGCCACTGAGATGACCCTGGAATCATTAGAGTTCAGCAGAAAATCTGTGTTCATAACCTGGTTCTGCCACTGAACAACTGTCTAGAGGGAAATCATTTTACTTCTCTGCAGCTCAGGGTCCCGATTATTGAAATGAAGATATTGATCTACTTTGCTTCTAGATCCCTTGATTTCTAACATTTCTGTATTCTAAACTTAGCCCCTCACCCACCCATATCTGAATTCATAGTGTAAATTCTTTCTCAGCTCTGAAATTCTAGGATTCTTGATCCCTTACAAAAAGTGGGTAGGACTCCATAATAGAGCTGTTGCTGTCTCTTGGTCCAGACTGTCTCCTGATAGAGGATATCCCAGCAGCTGCAAAATAAATAAACAAAAAGCAATTATTTATTCAATTAGATTACAAATAAAATTTTAATAGTTTTTTTTGCCAAATTTCATGTCAAGACTATTTTTAGGATCAATTTTTATGAGATTTTGAGTTCCAAAATTTTTTCCCTCCCTCCTTCCCCTCTTCTTAAATTGTGGGCAATTTGACATAGGTTATTCAGTGCTATTGGGTAAAATATATTTCCATATTAGTCAAAGTTGTGAAAAAAGAAATGCATCAAAAGGAATTAATAAACCATGAAAAAGAATAAAGTAAATGAAAAAAATATGCTTCAATATTCATTAAAAGTCTATCAGTTGTTTTGTTTTTGTTTCTGTTTTTTTTTTAACAAGGATGTGGCTTGCATTTTCCTTCCTGAATCCTTTATACTTGTCTTGGATCATCATATTGCTGAGAAGAGCTGAGTCATGCATACTTGACCATCACACATTGTTGCTGATGTAAAATAATTTCCTAGTTCTGCTCATTTCACTTTCCTTTGGTTTGTACAAATGTTTCCAGGTTTTTCTGAAATCTGCCTGTTCATTATTTCTTATTGCCCAATACTAATCCATTACATGCATATACCACAACTTGTTTAGCCATTCCCCAATTGATTGGCATTCCCACAATTTCCAATATTTTGCCACCACAAAAAGACTACTTTAAATATTTTTGCACATGTAGGTCTTTTTTTCCTTTTGATTATGTCTTTGGGATATGAACTTAGTAATGGTATTGCTGGATCAATGGGTATGCACTGCTTGGTTGCCCTTTGGGCCTAGTTCCAAAATGTTCTCCAGAATGGTTGGATCAATTCACATGTCCACCAACAGTTCATCAGTGTTTCAATTTTCCCACATCCTCTCCAATATTTATTATTTTACTTTTTTTTGTCATAGTGGCCAATCTGACAGGTGTGAGGTGGTACCTCAGAGTTCTTTTAATTTGCGCTTCTACAATCAAAAGTGATTTAGAGTACTTTTATATGCCTATAGATACCTTTGATCTCTTCATCTGAAAGCCACCTGTTCATATACTTTGACCACTTATCAGTTGGGCAATGGCTTATATTCTTATATATTTGACTTAGTTCTTTATATATTTGAGAAACAAGGACTTTATCAGAGATACTTGCTGTAAAGATTGTTTCTCAGCTTTCTGCTTTCCTTCAAATCTTGGTTGTATTGATTTTGTTTGTGTAAAAGCTTTTTAATTTACTACAATGAAAATTATCTATTTTATATTTTGTAATGCTCTCTATCTCTTTTTTGGTCATGAATTCTTTCCTTCTCCATAGATCTGAGAGGAAGACTATTCCTTGGTATTCTAATTTGTTTATAGTGTCACTTTTTATGTCTAAATCATGTACCCATTTTTGACTCTATCTTGGTATATAGTATGCATGTTGCTCTATACCTAGTTTGTGCCCTGTTGTTTTGTAGTTTTCCCAGAAATTTTTGTGAAATAGTGAGTTCTTATTCCCAAAGCTGGGGTTTTTGTGTTTATCAAACACTAGGTTACTATGGTCATTAACTTACTGCGTCTTATATACCTGATCTATTCCACTGATTGCCCACTCTTTCTTTTTCTGTTTCTTTTTTTTAACTAATCTTTTTAGTTTTCAACATTCACTTCCACAAGATTTTTGAGTTCCAAACTTTTTCCTCCTCTTTCCCCTCCCCACCCCAAGATGGCATGCATTCTGAATACCCCTCCTTTGCTCTGCTCTCCCTTCTATCACCTACCCCTCTCTCATCCCTTCCCCCTTCTATTTCCCTGTAGGGCAGGATAGATTTCTATATCCCATTGCTCGTGTCTTATTTCCCAGTTGCATGTGAAAACAAATTTTAGCATTTGTTTTTAAAACTTTGGGTTCCAAATTCTCTCCCTTCTTCTCTACCCACCCATCCTCATTGAAAAGGCAAGCAACTCAATATAGGTTATACATGTGTAGTCACACAAAACACTTCCATAATAGCCAGTTGTGTAAAACTAACCATATATCCCTTTATCTCATCCCACCCCCATTTATTGTATTCTCTCCTTTGACTGTCCCTCCTCAAAAATATTTGCTTCTGATTACCCCCTCCCCAATCTGCCCTCTCTTCTTTCATCCCCACTTCTAATCCCCATCCCCATTTTTTTCCTGTAGGGTAAGATCGATTTCCATACCCGATTGAGTGTGTATATTATTCTGTCCTTAAACTAAATACATTGAGAGTAAGATTCATTCATTCTCTCCTACCTTTCCCTTCTTCCCCTCCACAGTAAAAGCTTTTTCTTGTATGTTTTATGTGAGATAATTTACCTCATTCTACATCTCCCTTTCTCTTTCTTCCAGTATAACCCTCTCTCACCCATTAATTTTATTTTTCAGACATCATCCCTTCATATTTAACTCACCTTGTACCCTCTGTCTACATATATATTCCCTCCAACTACCCTAATACTGAGAAAGGTTTCATGAGTTACAAATAGCATCTTTCCATGTAGGAATGTAAACAGTTCATCTTTAAAAAGTCCCTTATGATTTCTTTTTCCTGTTTACCTTTCCACGCTTCTCTTGTGTCTTGTGTTTGAAAGTCAAATTTTCTACTTAGCTCTGGTCTTTTCATCAAGAATGCTTGAAAGTCTTCTGTTTCACTGAATGTCCATTTTTTTCCTGGAAGGATTATACTTAGTTTTGCTGAGTAGGTGATTCATGGTTTTAATCCTAGGTCTTTTGACCTCTGGAATATCATATTGCAAGCCCTCTGATCCCTTAATGTAGAAGCTGCTAAATCTTGTGTTATCCTGATTGTATTTCCGCAATACTGAATTATTTCTTTCTGGTTGCTTGCAATATTTTCTCCTTGCCCTGGCAACTCTGGAATTTGGCTATAATATTCCTAGAAGTTTTCCCAACCACTCTATTTCTTAGACAGTACTAGATGGTTTTGATGATTACTTCTTTATATATATGGTTTGAGATCTGGTATTGATAAGCTACCTTTTTTTTTTCATTTTTTTCCCATTAATTCTCTTGATATTCTTAACTTTTTGTTCTTCTAGATGAATTTTGTTTTTATTTTTTCTACCTCTATCAAATAATTTTTTGGTAGTTTGATTGGTATAACACTGAAGGCAAAATTGTGATTTTTATTATATTGGCTTGACCTGCTCATGAGAAATTGATGGCTTTTCAACTGTTTAGATTTGACTTTATTTGTGTGAAAGATGTTCTTTAATTGTGTTCATAGAGTTCCTGGGTTTCTTTTAGCACATAGACTCTCAAGTATTTTGTATTGTTTACAGGTATTTTAAATGAAATTTATTTCTATCTCTTGCTGCTGGGTTTTGCTGTTCATATAACAAAATGCTGATGATTGAAGGTAGAGTAAAGATGGCAGAGTAAAGGCAGGGATATGTCTAAGCTTTCCCACAAACCCCTCCAAATACTTTAAAAAATTACTCTAAAGAAATTCTAAAGCAGCAGAACCCACAAAAACATGGAGTGAAACAAATTTCCAGTCCAAGGCAACTTGGAAGGTCAGCAGGAAAAGTCTATTGCACCAGAGTGAGATCACAGTCCAGCTCAGGCTACACAAGCACAGACCATGCCCCAGCAAACCTGGAACATGCCTCAGGGTGACTGAATCAGTGGCAACCATGGAGGTTTCCAGACCTATCAATCCAAAAATGCCAAGACAACTTAGAATATCAGCAGGAAAGACCTGTTACACCTGGGTGAGAGTGGAGTGCAATCCAGCATAAGCTACCCCAGCATAGCCCTGGCCCCAGCAAACCAGAATCAAGCCTTGCAAAACTACCCTCATATTCTACAACCAAAGGGAAAAATACAGATTGAAAGACTCTGCTGATCACCTTCTGACAGAGATCCCAAAACAAAAACTGCCAGGAATATTATATCCGAATTCCATAGTTCCGAGGTCAAGGAGAAAATATTACAAGTATCCAGAAAGAAATAATTCAAATGTCATGGAGCCACAGTCAGAATAACATAAGATTTAGCAGCTTTTATATTAAACATTAGAGAGCTTGGAATATGATATTCCAGAGGGCAAAGGAGCCATGATTACAACCAAGAATCACCTATCAAGCAAAATCAAGTATAATCTTTTAGGGGGGAAATGGAAATTTGATGAGATAGAGGACTTTCAAACATTTTTGATGAAAAGACCATGGCTTAATAGAAAATTCAATTTTTAAATACAATACTTAAGAGAAGCATAAAAAGGTGAATAGTAAAGGGAAATCATAAAGGACTTAATAAGGTTTAACTATTTATATTCCTATGTGGGAAGATGATATTTGTAAGTCATAAAATCTTTCTCATTATTAGGGTATTTAAAAGAATATATACAGACTGAGAGCACAGGTGTGAGTTGAATATGAAGGGACAATATCTAAAAACTAAAATTAAGAGATGAGAGAGGAATGTGCTGGGAGAAAGAGAAAGGGGGAGCAAAAATGGGATAAATTATCTCCCATAAAAGAGGCAAGAAAAAAGCTTTTACAATGGAATGGAATTGGGGGGGAGAGAAGTGAGGGAGAGTGAGTGAACCTTACTCTCTTCAGAATTTGCTCAAAGATGGAATATCATACACACTCAATTGGGTATAGAAACCTATCTTACCATACAGGAAGGTAGGAGGGGAAGGGAATAAGAGAAGGCAGGGTGATAGAAGGGAGGCAAATTGGTGGACGGGAGTAGTCAGGAGCAAAACACTGTTGTGGAAGGACTGTATGAAAAGAGAGAGAATTGAATAAATATGGGGGAGGCATAGGATGGGGGAAAATGCAGTGAGCAATAGTAACTGCAAAAAAAAAATTCTTGAAGCAAATTTCTCTGATAAAGCCTCATTTCTCAGACATATAGAAAACTGAGTCAAATTTATAAAAATAAGAGCCATTGCCCAATTAACAAATGATCAAAAGATAAGTTTTTAGATGAAATACCAAAGCTATATATAGTCACATAAAA